TGCGGTACGCGGGCCTCTCACTGTCGTGGCCTCTCCCGTTGCGGAGCACAGCCTCCGGACACACAGGCTCAGCGGCCATGGCTCACGGGCCCAGCCGCTCCGCAGCATGTGGGATCTTCCTGGACCAGGGCATGAACCCGTGTCCCCTGTATCGGCAGGCGGACTCTCAACCACTGCGCCACCAGGGAAGCCCGAAAACTATGTTCTTTTAAAAGCACAATTTTATCTTCTGCCTCATTGAGTTTATTTTTTTTAAGGCGTTCTTATTTAAAAAGCAGTTTCCTTTATAGATTCTTCCCTTACTGTATTGCCTCAGCATAATAATGCAAATGAAGTATATTCTTTAGTAGTAAAATTAATTGTTTTATTCTGTAATCTAATGTACATCTTCAGTTAAAATAGATTAGGAAATCTTTACCTTTTTTCTTCTTTTAGAAGAACTGAAATCAAATTCTCCCACACCTACCAAGCCTAATTGAAGCCTTCATTCCGTATATATGGTTATTCAACTGCCATTTGTAGTCCAGGATACTCAGTTACTCTCATGATGACTTAAGTTATTTGTATTTCCTGATCATCATAGATTTTGGTGTCCCTAAATGGAATAATTTTGAAAAATTGATCCCTAAACAGATCTAAAAAGCTTACTCCCCGAATATCTATTCAAACCTTGTTGTTAGGAAATAAAATACCTTCATATTTGATTTATTTTGGAAGCTGAAAAATTTATTCAATTCAATATATAAAGGACTTTACCTCTCTCTATTAAATAAACCCCACAACACCTGTATGTTACGACTACTGTGGGAACTATTGATAATGTGTATAAAGTGCTAGTGTGGGATACCTAATACATAGCAGATTGTCAGCAAGAGACGGCTGCTGCCTTTATTCTCTAATAATGACTGGAACAAATGCCAAAACATGCTTTCTGCTGAAAATGCTCATTTGTGTCCATTTTTCTTCTCTCTAAAGAAAAAATTAATATTGACTACAGTGATTTAAAAATAAGATATTTGTGTTATATTTATAAAGCCTATCTTGGGAAAAAGTGATTTTGTAAAAATGTCTCTGTAGGTGGTCTTGGCTATTATTTGAGATCTTGCATATTTGAAAAATTTTTATTCTTTGTCACAATTAATAGGTGGTTTGACTGAATATAGAATTGTACTTAGAAAATAATTTTCCTTTAATTTCAAAGACATTTAAAGTCTGTTAGATTGCTTTCTAGCTTCCAGTGGTTCCATTGAGAAGTTTCTTTTCATTTTGAGCCTTGATCTTTAGTCTTGACTTGCTTTGTCATTCAAGAACTTTTAAAGGTCTTCTCTTGATTCCTATTCATCTAAACATTTTATCTGGTACCTTTTTTCCTCCAGTGGGTGTTTGGAAATGTATGGAGACAGTTTGAGTAGTCACAGTGACTAGGAATGCTGAGGGAGAAGAATGCTTTAGGATTTAGTATCTGAAGGTCAAAGAAGTTAATTTTCTTGCAAATACAGGAAACATTCTCACCCAGAATGTCAGTAGTGCCCCTGTTAAGAAGTATTGTGACCGTGGGGAAATGTAAGAATAATCCTGATCTGCATATTGATTATAGTGTATGACAAGAGAAACAAGATGTGTGCACCAAAGACCAGTCAATATGATTGGTAATAGTGTTATAGACATGCTATGTGAAACAATGGAGGAAGAAAGAGTAAGTGACACAGTACAAACTGAAGTAGAATAAAAATCATTATGTGAAATATAACCATCAGATTATGAGTATATATTTACCATGTTACTGATTTTGATTTCTAGTTGGACGTTATCTGCACTGTTTTGCTTAATCATATTTTTGACACTTTTTTCTGTATTTCCAAGTAGTACCTGTTCTTAATTACTTTGATAGGTCTATAGTAAATATCTAATTGTAATCCAAACACTTGGCAATTCCAGATCCAGAAAGATTTGAGAAATATTTTTTTTTGCAAAGACTAGAACTTGACTGACAATGATAGTTATACATTTTATTTTTTATTTTTATTTTTTTTTTAACATCTTTATTGGGGTATAATTGCTTTACAATGGTGTGTTAGTTTCTGCTTTATAACAGAGTGAGTCAGTTATACATATATATATGTTCCCATATCTCTTCCCTCTTTGTCTCCCTCCCTCCCACCCTCCCTAAGTTATACATTTTAAATGCGACTGGGATTCAGAAAGGAGTTGAGCAAGGGTTGTACTTGTACAGTTTTATAGCAGCTTCTGTGTTATCAGGTTGCAGTTCTATTTCATTACTGTCTTGGGGAATGAATTACCAGAATAGCATATATAGATTGGCTATGTTATAACGGTGCAAACATTCAGTGACAAAGACAACTTGTTTTTGAATTATCCACCATTTATTCATGGTTCATATCATTGCTTTACTTCACTAATGTGGCTAACCAGGCAAACTGTACATTAGAAATACAGGACTCTAACAAAGTAAAGAGGGATTAAGATAATGAGGTGGGAAGATAGTGGAAGATGTTAAAATGGTAGTTTGATAATTAAGTATTAATACAGAGTCTTCATTTTAATATGCATATGATATACTTTTACTTTTCAGAACCTAAATCACAGCCACAGCAGCTTCATCAAGGACAACACAGATTGTCAAATACTGAGCAAAATGGAGTAAAAGATAATAATCAACCAAGATATCTTCCTCGAAATGATACCAGACAGCCAAGAAATGAAAAACCTCCTCGTTTTCAAAGAGACATCCAAAATTCAAAGTCAATTTTAGAAGGCAGTGGATTACCTAGAAACAGAGGTTCTGAAAGACCAAGTACTTCTTCAGGATCTGAAGTGTGGGCTGAAGAGAGAATCAAGTGTGATAGACCATATTCTAGATATGATAGAACTAAAGATACTTCATACCCTTTAAGTTCCCAGCACAATGATGCTGCATTTAAAAAAAGGGATAACTCTATGCAAAGCAAATCAGGAAAAGTTCCATCCTATGCAGAGGCAAAAGAAAATCCACTTCCTCAAGAATCCATAGATTATAATAATCAAAAACGTGGGAAAAGAGAAAGCCAAACAGCAAATCCTGATCATTTTTATGATAGGAAACCACGAACAATAAATAATGAAGCTTTTAGTGGTGTAAAAATTGAAAAATATTTTAATGTAAATGCTGATTACCAGAATCCTGTCCGAACAAATAGTTTCATTGGTATTCCAAATGGAGAGACAGAAATGCCACTGAAGGCAAGGCGAGTAGGACCTATTAAGCCAGCAGGACCCATCACAGCTACACCCTATGATGATAAGATATTTTACAATAGTGGGCCCAAAAGAAGATCTGGGCCAATTAAACCAGAAAAAGTACTAGAATCATCTATTCCTATGGAGTATGCAAAACTGTGGAAACCTGGAGATGAATGTTTAGCACTTTATTGGGAAGACAACAAGGTATGCATGTTATAAAGTTATTAAATACTAATAGTACTGAATGTAACAGTCTAGTGAGACCACAGAAAGCCATTACTTTCTGACTGAGTTGTGTTCTATGATTGTACTAGTTTGTAAAGTCCTTGAATAGATGTATACATATATAACTTATCAAAGGGAAAACAAAATATTTAATATTTTTTATGGATGCTTAGGAGTCCCATAGGATTTGGTTATGTTAGGTTTGATTTTCACCTGTATATCAGAAAAGTATTGTAAAAGTGATTAAGTGAAGTTGATGAGTTACTTCAGTTATCATCAACTGAACTATTAATATTTTCTTTCTAGTAAAATTATACTGATTCACAAGGGAGAAAATCAGTTGAATGACACACAAATTCTGCAGATTTCATTTAATTTAAAGATAAGTACACAGTCAGCCTACTTTAAAAAAATAAGAGCAGGAAGGTTAATTATTTAGCTAATAATAAATAATTTAAGAAACAAATCATTTAAACAATCTTCAGTTCTACATTATATTCTGGCTAAAAGGGAAAGACGGAAATCGTGAAAAAAAAAAAGAAAGAAAGAAGATGAGGTTGAGAAGGAATACAGTGCATCAGATAAAAGAGCCTGGCTGAGAGGGAGAAGACCAACACAGTGCAAACAGGAAGGGGAAGAGGACAGAGGGACCCTCAGAGAGAAGGGCCTTTGTACGTGTTTCCCCTTCTGCCCAACATGCTCTTCCACCAACTACTCTTCTGATCCTTGAGGACTTGGCTGAGATACTTTCTAGAAGAAGCCCTTCTTTTCTGCCCCCTCATCCCTTCTACATTATTGTCTTTCTCAATCAGTGCCTTGTTCACTTTATAAAACTTATTACAGTTTGTAAGTATTTTTGGTTTGGGTTCCTGCATTGATAACTCTTTCCCCTACCATGATTTTTTTAAGTTCCTTGAAGGCAGGACCATGTATCTCTAGTTTTTTCCTCTATTGCCCTGTTCCTCTCATAGTGTAGGGATTTCATAATTATTTGTTGACTTTGTTAACTAGTTCATTCTCAAGGGGGCACTTACACAGGAAAAAAGTAGAGTAGTTAGGGGACTGGAGATATTAGCAAGGTAATAAAAACAGAGGTGAGTTATAGTGTGAGGGACCTAAGTGGATGTGAGGATCAAGTCAAAAAATATTTGAAATAAATATTTCATATGTAGAATAGTTTCAGTTGATAAGGGTCTGCCTGTGTGTGGCTAAAAGGAGTGGTGGAAGTAAAGTTAACTGAAAATTTCAAGGAACTGAAATTCAGGCTTGGAAGTGTGGTTGGATCTTTTAAAAGATGCTGTAGGGCTTGGGATCAGGAGGTGTTATCTAATGATAGCAGCAAGGAGGGGTCCAGGTACAACTAGATGGCACAGTCTTTTAAGGTTTTGGTATGAATGTGAGATAACATTTGTCTAGAAGCAGCATCTCTACCGTCAAATTTTTATTCAAGGCTAAAAGCAGAGGAGGAGACAGCACTAGCTGTGTCTTTTCTCTTTTTCAAGAAAAGCAAAAGCCTTCCCAGAAATACCAACAGACAATTTCATTGGTTGGAACTGTTTCACATGGCTTCTCCTTGGCTATTAGGGAGACTTGGAAAGCAAGTACAGGCGTTCTTCACTATCTAGACTCTTACTCTTGCAGCTGAGACCACTCACTTTCCAAAATACAACAACTGTTTGATTTGGCTAGTGAGGGGTTACTTATGCTTAACTGTTTCTCTATTATGGTAGAGGCAAGTAGTTGGAAATCAGTGTTAGTTTATAGAACTAACACTGTCTACCTTAGAGGGAGGGTTCACTTCTGTCAGATGCTTCTGTGAAAGGTTAAGATGAGGATGGAAATGTTAGTTTGCATTGGACAGTGTGGAGTTGATGGTGACCTTGATGAGCAGAGGAAGTAAATGATTAATAATTAATCATTAATAATGTTTGAAAGGCTTGGTAAAAGACTCAGGCTTTCCATTGAAATCCCATAAGGATTGTGCCCTAGTAGTAAGTGCAAAATACATACAAGCCAGTACAATGCCTAAAATCAACCCTTTACATGATTAAGGATATCTCCTTGTACTCTGTCTGCCTGCCCTCCAAAATATAATCCTCTTTTGGGGAAAAGTAACATTTTCTATACAGATCCTCTTCATAGTATTTCATCTACAATGTCTGGCATCCTATAAAAAATTATGAGGCATGGTTAAAAATACAAAGAGAGAGAGAGAGAGAATATGAAAGACCAGAAACAAATAAAGCAGCAGAGAATAACAGACCTAAGATATTCAGATATTACACTTAGACAAGTTCTTCAACAAATATTGAGTATTCAACAGACCATAATTGAGTCGCTGCTAAGCGTTAGGTGCTTGGGATATATCAGATAGTTTTGTCTGTGCTATTACCCAAATGCCTTCAAATACCTGATGAGATTGTTATTAAAGCTTTACTTTCAATTGTAATTTTCTCAGAAAATCAATGATACTGAATTCATCTATTGCCTCTACTGAGTATATTCAAACTAATGTCATATAGCTTCTGAAAGATAGTGCCTAATATTTCCCAAAATGTTTTGAGCTTTTAGAGTATTCTTAGAATAATTGGATGATCGTCTAAGATGACTACTTTGAATTTATGTGGATGTATACATTCAGTTTAGAGTGAAGGACTGTAGGCTCTGTATAGATGCACCTTTAAGCAAATAAGATAAATATTCACTCTCTGAAAGAGATGGCATTAGTTATGTTCTGAAACCACCTAATTTAAGAGATAACTTTTAAGTGTTTTTTCAAGAATAGCCAACTTTCCAATTTTCTAGCCAGAGACTAAGGTAAAGATTTAAGAAAAGCATTGCCTATAACTGTCATTAAGAAAGCATAATCTTAATTGCATTGTAATGATGTTCTGGAAATAATCAGTTAGTATCATTTAAAATATTCCTCATGATATCTTGCCTTCTCTCAAGCTTTACTTCCATAGAAGGATTTGAGCATTTGGGACAATGCTTTCTCTCCCTGTATGTCTGCCATAACTAGTTCAGCTGTTTCAGCTCTTTCAACTGGGATATTGTAACAGCCTCCAAATTGGTCTCCTTGCCTTAAATCTTATTCCTCTTAAACTTGTCACTGAAACTGCCAACACTGTGATCTTGGTCTTAGAGCATGTCATTCTTCCTAGTTAAAATCTTTCACTTGTAGTCTTTAGCATGCATATAGAGCCTCTATCAGCTGGTCATTACCTTCTTGTCCTGTTGGTTGACCCTTCTTACATCATACCATAGTTAATTTAAAACTGCTTGTTGTTTCCTATACTTTTCTTCATGTTTTATGTCTCTGTAACTTTCCCTGGAGCACCCTCCTCAGTTCTTAACTTGGCTAAATACTCTTCATCCTTGAAGACCATATCCATTGTCATCTGCCCCAGGAAGCTTTTCCTGAACTCCTCAGCTTTATTAAGTGCCATATCACTACACCTTTATTGCAGTACTTTCCGCATTATATAGAATTCATTTTTCACGTGTAGTTCCTGAAAGGATGTCAAGTTATTTGTTTTCCTAGGATGTATTATGACTGGCTGTCATTGCTGAACTTACCTGTACTGACATTAATTATCTAAGAAGCTTACAACTGAAGCATGGGTCCAGAAATACAGCAATTTACAGAACACAGAAGTATAAGGCTAAGAAATAAAGGAGGAAGGGAGAGATGTGAATCTATATTAAGAACTCTAAGATAAGGAAAATTCTAGCATGGTATCTCTAAATTTCCTAGCATCCAGATCTGGAAAGGAAAATACGATGGATTAACTTAATAACTTTTGTAGTATGAAGTATACTAGTTAATCAGTGAAAACAGGGACTTCCCTGGTGGTCCAGTGGTTAAGACTTTGCCTTCAAATGCAAGGGGTGTGGGTTTGATCCTTGGTCGGGGAGCTAAGATCCCACATGCCTTGGGGCCATAAAACCAAAAAATATAAAACAGAAGCAATATTGTAACAAATTCAATAAAGACTTTAAAAAAAAAAAGCATCACTTATTTAAAAAAAAAAATCAGTGAAAGCAGGTTCTTTCCTGGTATACCCAGAGTAACTGCTATTTTAGAAGATTGAGAATAAGAATTTTTGTTGTGTTTAGTATTTTTTGATTCTGGTGAGCCTATTAATGTTACTGAACTCAGGCTTTTCTGTTCATAGCTTGAAAGCCAAATCTCAAGAGACAAGTGTTGAGTAAAAGGAAAGATGGCTTTATTGAGGAAGCTGGCAGTCCTGGGAAGAAGATGGACTCGTGTCCCAAAAAACTAACTCCCCATTGCTGATCGGGGGCAAGAGCTTTTAAAGTGGACTTTCAGGGATGTAGAGGTGGAGGGAGGGGTTGGTGGAGGGGAGCTACATGCAGAACAGTAGTCAGCTCCAGCAATCATCTCGAAATTGGTCATGCAGTGATCTGATCAGCATCATATGATTGTTTTAAGTACAAGTAATCTTCAACTTCAGCGTCAGTGTGTTCACATTTTCTTGAGACCAGTTCTTGGAATTGTGTAAGATGGAACAGCTTATGTCATGGCTACAGTCATCATGTGGTTAACTTTTTCTTTTTCTTTTTTTTTCTTTGCGGTACGCGGGCCTCTCACTGTTGTGACCTCTCCCGTTGCGGAGCACAGGCTCCGGACGCGCAGGCTCAGCGGCCATGGTTCACGGGCCCAGCCGCTCCGCGGCATGGGGGATCTTCCCGGACCGGGGCACGAACCCGTGTCCCCTGCATCGGCAGGCGGACTCTCAACCACTGCGTCACCAGGGAAGCCCGTGGTTAACTTTTTCTACCTGGTGGGGGTTTCAGTATCTGCAAAATAGCTCAAAGGATACAGCTCAGAATATTTATCTATAGCCTTGGAGGAGAAACTAAAGGTTCTTGACTTTGCTTAATGGCTAAACTATCAATATTATTTTTTTTGTCTTGCTTGACTGTTTTCCTTTGTTTCTGCATTTTCTCACTTCTCTGATTAAATTTATTCTTTGGCTAAAGTTTTTCTACAGACAAGAGGCAGGTGGAGGACATGGAGGGAGAGGGGTGTTTGTCCTGGGAAGGTCCTATAGGGTCCTGTTATATTAAGAGTTACAGTTCAAGTGTTACATTAGAGCATCCAACTGCCCTAGTTTGAAGAAAACATTTCTTAAGAGTAAATAAGAGTTTTATGAGTTTTTCGTTTCCATATCATATTCACTAAGCAACGTTCAGACGTATAATTTGAGTCCTGAATGGGTTGACCTATAGTGGAGGGAATACTCCAATCAGTTGACCTACTCCCAGTTACCTCAACAGAAAATTTAAAAATTGTAGTTGTTACGTAAATTCAGTTCCTAGTGAGTTTGTTAATGTGTGTTGGTTCCAAGAGCCAAGGAACACTGGGTAAACAGATGAAATAAAAGTGTCCGGTCTTACAATGTCTCAAATCCTATAAATCCTAGATATAAGTAATGTGCTTACTTTTTACCTGAAAACCCTCCTTCACCACAGCTGCCTGTATGACTGCAACAATGAGCCTTTTTCTTTGTTTTGTTTTTTTTTTTTGTCACATATTTCTGTTTTTTAAATACATTGCTCCATACTTAAATATTCTGATTAGTACATAAGAATCATATTACCAGTGTTAGTCAAAGGGCTTCAATGGCTAACAGCAAAACATAACACTAGTTCTTTTTACACCCATTAGCATGTGAATGTTCTTCTCTATTGACCCTCTTAGTTCTGCAGTCTTACTACTGCTCAGTGTAAGTATGTCAGAACTCACATGGCTGAGAGAATTTCTCTTTTTCTTAGCCAATTTATGATTATCCAAAGGTAAGCTTTCTTTCTTAAAAATATTCTCTTAAAAATTATTTTCTTTAAAATATTGTATATTTTAAAGTTGCTAAGAGAGTAAATCTTAAAAGTTCTCATCATAAGAAAAAAAATGTAACTATGTGTGGTGATGGATGCTAACTAGACTGATTGTGGTAATCATTTCACAATATATACATATATCAGATCATTATGTTGTCCACTTAAAACTAATACAATGATATATGTCAATTATGTCTCAATAAAAATTGATTTTAAAAATGAGCTTTCAAAAAATACAAATATTTTAACATTTTGAGTATTTACATTTCCATCATGTATCACCCTTTGTAGACAATATTGATCGTCATATTTAAAACTCCTTTTTGTCTCCTCAGTTTTACCGAGCAGAAGTTGAAGCTCTTCATTCTTCAGGTATGACAGCAGTTGTTAAATTCATTGATTATGGAAACTATGAAGAGGTGCTACTAAGCAACATCAGGCCCATTCAGACAGAGGCATGGGTACGTGATCCAAATTCTGTACAAAGGCATAAGCTGTTTTGAAGGAAATACATAGCTCTAAAAGCTTAGTCATAGTAATACAAAATTTGCCAGTGGAAAAATATTTTGAATTTGCTTAAAACTGACTACTCCTAAAGTAAGATTTTAATTTAATAATTACACTGAAATACAGTAAAAATGAATGCATTGCAATTGCTTCTCTTGTATAATGCTTTGTTATATTATGCTTTGGAAATAGGTGCCCTTATTTATATGTTGGCCAAAAATGTGTATATGTTTTTATGGGTTCTTATGCATATTTTGTTCTTTCCAAATTTGTTACTTTAAATTTGACTAAATTATGTCCAGCAGTTGTCAAATTTAAGTCTCTGTTGGATACATGTATATTCTTTATTATTTTAGTTACATGTAACATTAAGAAAAACACTTTAAATTATATATGAACTCATACTCCATTTACTACACGTATATTTATATATGTATATGTGCAGATTAAATTTAAATATCTTTGTTTAATAATTATTTGATTAATTTTGTTGCCAAATGTTATGTCAAAGCTGTGATGATTTTGTTGATGTAATTTAGACTGTATTGGCCTCATGGAGTCCATTTTATACAGGACTTATGTGACTTTACATAGATAGATTCTCAGCTACATTTAGGCAAAAACAGGAGGACAAGGCATATTAGAATTTGTTTCATAAATTTTTTTTTAAATTTATTTCCTTTCTGTAATTTGTGGATACCTGTTAATAAACTTATCACTAGAAGCCTAATTTGTTGCTGTTTCCCTAAAATGTAAAAATATACTAGAAAGCTATATCATCTAGACAGTAGCCTTCATCATTGAAGCATACATTCTCATGAGCTGCTTTTAGTTTAGTTTAGCTTTGGTCTTTCTAGATTTTTCTGTCATGACCTCTGTGTCACTGCTCCCTCTCGCCTCCCCAAAAAAGATAAATAAAACAACAACAAAAAGCCTAGTAGCAGCAGTCATATTTGGGTCCATAGATCTTTATTCTTTACCTTTTTATTCTAGAAAAATGATTATTTTCTAGGTAGCTTATTGTTTCATATTTTACAGTACAACATTCATACGTTTAAGAGATCCTTTCCTTCACTCTCATCCTCTAAAGTTTAGCTGCTTTTTCCCTAAAAGACTGAAATACCATCAATGTCTAATTTATATCTTTTCTTAGAGAAACTTGATGTAACTATATCTTTTGCCCTTTTGATTCCCATGTGATGGCTATTTTTATTCTCTTTTCATTTATTCTCTTTTTCATTAATACATCTTAATGTAGTTTTGATGGTAAAATTATTTATTGAGTCTTTATTTGTAGAAGTTGAACCCTAGTTTGCTATTCATCATGTGATCCCAGTGTTTTTGGCCATTACAGTCAGAGTCAAAATAAAATTTTTACATTTAGTGTTTTTTTGGGAGATTTAATAAAAGATTAATTTTATTCTTTTCTCCCTAAAGAAAAATTTAAGTTTCTTTACTTTGTTCCTTCTCTACTTCCTCTTTCTGTTCCAGAGTGGACATAACTTATGAGCACATTTCTCATTCCTCACTGTAGCTTTTCCATTCAGAGGTGTTTGGTACTGAAGTGATCATTTTCTTTCTACAGTCAGTGACTTTTCCTTTTTTCCCCTTAATAGTCCTCATTGCTTTACTATTGATTTTAGGTCTTTGTAAACTTAGCTGGACAATAAATTTATCACGTGACAGCCCATGTGGTGATTCTGAACCACAGCAATACTTTCATATTCTCCCTGCCTACTTGTGAATACTCTTCTAGGCTTTATTGTGCTATTTTTTTTTTTAACCTCTTCACTTTTTCTGCAGTCAACTTAAAAATCTTTCATAAGATACGTGAAATATTTTTCAGGTAGAAGCAGGATAGTATTACTAAATCTTTTGGAGATTCTGGTATTTCTTTTCTCCTATTTACAAGTAACCAAGTGATTGTTGATGTTTTATGATTTTGCATAAATTAATACAGCAAATATTTTTGGATTATGAACAGTGTTATTGAGGATAAGATCATCCTTTCTTCCTTATCTGTGTGAATAATCGACTTAATTGTAGAAGCAGCTCCTTCTTGATAAATAGAAGCCACCAGCCTAACGTATCTTAACCCATCTCCTTTTTTTTTTTTTTTTTTTTTTTGCGGCCCGCGGCCCTCTCACCGTTGTGGCCTCTCCCGTTGCGGAGCACAGGCTCCGGACGTGCTCCGGACGCACGGGCTCAGCGGCCATGGCTCACGGGCCCAGCCGCTCTGCGGCATGTGGGATTGTCTCGGACTGGGGCACGATCCCACGTACCCCGCATCGGCAGGCGGACTCTCAACCACTGCACCACCAGGGAAGCCCACGCATCTCCATTAAAAAAAAAAAATACATATGTGCGCATATACATAAAAAGCCTCTGAAGAAAAACGATCTGTGTGGCTGTCAGTACATTTAACATAGAATTAGTGTAGAGTTCTCTAATCCTCTGAGAGTGCTGGTGTTGGGGTCTATGAGCACTTTTTCTTTTTGTAACTTGGGAATTGTAACAAGTTTTAAGTTAATCCAAGCAAAACATTCACTATACCAATAAGAAGGTAACTCTAATTGATAAGTCATACTAGAAAAATTAAAGAGCTGCAAAAAGGTATAGCGAGGTGTTAGAAGCCTTAGCACAATTATTCACTCACACTATGGACTGTGTAATTTTTAATTTCTTTCAACTCTTGCACTACATATGTACATTACTGTTTTTAATTATGAAATGATTTTGTATATTTTATTAAGGTTTATTTTTGTTATTGGCACAAGATTATGGAAAACCTCTTTTTTTCCTAAATGTAGCAATGATCATTCATTGAAATTTTTTTAATAGTTTGCAGGAAACATAACCAAGAAGCCTGCATATAAACCAAAAATCTTTATAGAAATAAGTTGTCTGTATTGTTTCTTAAAGGTGTAAGGATAAATTATTAAATAAAAAGCATGAAATGAGATTCAATGACTAAGTTAATAGTTTCTTATATGGAAAATTAGAATAAAAATCAAGTTAATAGTTTAAATCTGTTAATATTTTTCTCATGAAGTTTAAGAACTAATTGCCTTAAATCAGTCTGTAGACAAATTTCTATTTTCCCCTTCTATCTGGATGTACCTTTTTACTTCCAGAACATACTCAGTGATGATATTTTAGATGGTAAAAATATATGTTCTGATTATGATTAAATACTTTATTTCCTCCAAAATGATCTACTGAACTTTTTGTTATGTTATGTCATACTTGAATTTTTTCTTCGAGCTAGATTAAACCTGGATCTTTTAACTATGGTAAAATATTCTGTCGTAATTTTAGTGTCTTTATTATAGTAAACTCTCTATCATATATTAATGTGAGATTCACAGCTCATTCTTTTTTTTTTTTTTTTTTTTGCGGTACGCGGACCTCTCACTGTTGTGGCCTCTCCCGTTGCGGAGCACAGGCTCCGGATGCGCAGGCTCAGCGGCCATGGCTCACGGGCCCAGCCGCTCCGCAGCATGTGGGATCTTCCCAGACCGGGGCACGAACCCGTGTCCCCTGCATCGGCAGGAGGACTCTCAACCACTGCGCCACCAGGGAAGCCCACAGCTCATTCTTAACTGGATAAATCCTCTTTTTTTTTTTTTAATGTTCTTTGTATATTGCAGGATTTTCCTTATTTTACCAAAGTAAATGAAGCATTTTGGAATCTCATATTATTTGTAAAACTATGTAGGGAGAAAACCATAATATTATTTTATATTTCTGACCACTGTATGAGAAAACATTAGGGGCAAAGGAAACCTATTTGTGTTTCCTGCAGGCGCTTTTCAAATGTATTCTTTTTAACTCTAAAACTAATATCAGGAAACCAGTAGAAAGATGCCACAGGCAATTTGGAATTACTGTAAAATACCCTGGCGTTGCTGCTCAGACAGATCTTTTGTGTTTTTAGAGTGTTGTTGCTTCTGAATCACATTTCTAAATCTGGAAGGACAGTGTCAAGTCCTGATTTCCCAGAATATTTATGACTTTTATGCCACTGAGACTTATATATCCCAAGAAATGTTTTAGAACATGCTGATTTCTAAACTTTCTTTTTAAAGGTTCATAGTATCAGGAAATGATCTTGGTTCAGTTAATGTTCCAACTAGAAAAATTATGATTCTATTGATAATGGTTAGTTCTAAGACCTTAGCATACACATCATCTTGGGCAGTAATTCTGGAAGGATTGTTATTGTCTTTTAACCTACCTTAAATGTTTTTCTGTAGCATATCTATTTATTCAACAAATATTCATTGTATGTATGTTAGGTGCTAGGCATTGTTCTGGGTGAGGAATATATGTTAATACTCAAAACACACAAAAGTCCTGCCCACAAAGTTAGAAGAAAGTTATATTTCCAATTATGTGAAACAAACTTAAATATCTCATGGGAGTGTTCATTCTTACCTCTTGAAGCTTTAAAACAAGATATAAGTGGGAAAAATTTTGTTTACTGATTTTTAATTTAAATAATGTTTAGGTCTTTATTTTATTTCACCTTATTTGAAGATAAAATTATTACAGAAGAAGAAAGTGTCATTTAATGAATTTTATCTATTTAAAATTTCCTATCTGTTTATCTACTTCATTTAAAAAGTAAATTTCTTTTTAGATGGGTTTGGGTTTCTTTTAAAAATAATTATAATGTATTTTTTTTCAGTTTGAGCATACTTTAAAAAAAGAACAATCAGTTTCAAGTTTTACTTTTGAAGTAACTTGGTGCAAAATTTATTTTATAATGACATCCTGGGAAGCACATTTGAAAATTACCTTTTCAAATTCAAATAGTGTTCAGAAAAAAACAAAGTATTCTACCACTAATAAAACTATTAAAGAGAAACTTATTACCCCCCAAAAAACCCCTAACCTATTTAATGAGGAAGGAGATTGAGAGTTTTGATATGTAAATTAATGACTTAAAATGGATCCTAAATGTATTAGAATAAGGTCATGTTAGTAATTTTAATGATACAGTAATAAAGTTAGGCTATATCTAGTTTGTATTTTATATCAAAGATCATAACAGATATTAAAAAGAGGACAATTGTTATAGAAATCATTAACTTCAAAGGGAAATTAGAATTATGTAACAGTGAGGTTCTGCCAATTAGTATCCAGTAAAAACTGCAGGCACTTATTTGATCATAGTCCAGAAGGTTTTTCATTTCTGATAATAAGTTCTTAAATAAATTAGTGGGTATAATTTACCATACTTAAATTTATGCACTAAAAGCATAATTTGAGTAAGGTCAGTGAAATACTGAAATACATTTTCTTCCACTATACATATTTTGGGACACTTCCCTTTCTGAGATTGCCATATAGGCAATGCTCATTTTCTTTTGCAGTGTAAACACAGAGTAAATCAAAAGGAAACTAGTACAGCTAGTTCAGCCCCATTTAAGAACATAATTTTCACATTATAGGTGATGGAATTGGGGGGATTCCATGTAACATCTTTAAGCTCTGTTTTAATAAAGTTTGGTTGTATTTGATATGCTTTATTTATTTCTTAATCTATCACCCAGCTTTTCACAATTCGCATGGGAGGTTGTGGATTATACAGAAGGACTTTACTAGAGATATGAAAGCTTCTGACATAGAGGGAGAGATGATTCATTCATAAATGATGCCATATGCATTGATATATCAACTTAAATACTGTTGACATCTACCTCCTGAATCCCAAATTCTGTTTGTGAATTTGAGATTATTATGAAACCTAAGAGATTATTATGAAAATCTCGAGATCTAGTTTTGACCGGCCTATATTATTCAAGAGACATTTTATTTCACCATTAAATTAATACTAAGAAAATAGTATGCTATTTTAAGAACCTGTACAAAAGTACTGCTTGAATTTTGCTATCTGATAATTTAATGTATTGTAATCTATTCAAAGGAGCTGTATATAAATATATCTTTAAAAGGTTTCTGGGTAATCTGAGTTTTCCTTTATTGAGCAATGAAAGTACATCATGTTATTATTTCATGTTCCTTTTTACTGAAGGTAAAATAACTCCCAAAGTGAAATAACATGGTAGGGTATTACCTAAGATGTACTGTCTTTTTTATTTGTTTCTAACTTTAATTACAATTCATAAAACAATTTAAGCCTTATATTATTTAAATATTAAGAATCAAGTTAGCATAACTGTTTGAAAAATCTTTTTTGTGTACATGAATAATACCAGTAGCTATTATGTTAATCTTTTATCTTCTAAGTCTCCCCTTTATTAATAGCAACTTAAAGGATGGACTCCTGAATTATAGTGCTGGCTAATTGAGAAGTAAATTCCGAGATGCTTTAGACTTATGCTAAATGTTGTATAATTTTTATTTTTTCTTCAAAGTAGTCTTAGGAGGCATCCTGGGTATGATCTACAGCTGAAGGGGGCTAGGATTGTCAGATGAACTTATTTTTTCCTTTGACATTTTTGATTTAATAGACCCAAGGTTTGTTCTCTTTCAAGTGTAAATTTTATTTTTTCATTTACTTTACTTACCCGGATTTTTAAAACTGTAATTTCAAACTGCACTGAATTTTACCATTCCTTCACATATGTGTGCAGAAGACTTGCTAATATACTCATTGCACAGGAAATAAAGTAGTAAAATAAATGAATCTGAGGAATATTTTTGTTTTGTTTTATTTCTTGTTCCCAAAGATGTTAAAGTATTATATTGGGCATGTGCCTTGACTAGGCACTCATGTCAGTATGTTTTAAAGATTTTTATAAATCTGAAGAGGCATCCTTCTTGAATTAAAAAAAAACAACAGTGCACACAGTTCTGTTTTAGTTTCTAGTGAATTTCTGAGCCTCTTCCATCTATACCTAAAAAGGCAGAAAAATATGTTGCTTATTGCACCATAGACTTTATTCCCTTTCAGATGGAGCTCCTACAATGCATCTTTCCAATTCTAAAGTCAGTGGTTGTGAACTTTGTTGGTGATAGGCTAAAAGAGGATTTATGATACATATTTGATTGCGTACCATAACAAGTCATCAGTTGTCCATTTTCTTTTTTAACCTTACGTGGTTATTTGTGTTTTTCTGTACTCTTGCTTTTGTCACCTTATTTATTAGTCATCTCTCTGTGTTTTCATTCTATTTCTTAAACATCATTGTATCCTTTTGACTTTGTTTTTTAAACTTTATTTTCTTTTCACATTTGGTGGGTGATATCTCTTGATGTATTTGTTTACTACCCCTTCCTACTGATCCTAATTTCCTGAACTTTACTGGACCTATGCTGTTTGTTCTAGAATCATGCGCAGTAGGTTTCACTATCACACCTCTAGAAAAAGAGTGGAGTTGATCTGTCTCCTTGTGAGAAACACTCTGGTGTTAATAGCTTTCACTTCCATTAAACTTGGGAAATACTGGCAAGAGTTTTACACCTTAGTTTGAAATAACTCCCTTAGTAGTGGCCTGTCGTTGGCTGAGAGCTCCATTCAGAAGGGACAGGACGTTCTGCAACAGTGAGTACATTTTATTTGCCTTAAAAAAAACAAAAAAATCCCATATAGTTTGTTAAGAGTAAACATAATGATGAGGTTCTAGTTAAGTAGCTCAGACCATCATAAGAATTTTAAAGTTATTATTATTTTTTTTTTTTTTTTTTTTTTTTTTGGG